TATCACTAATCTTCTGCCTCGAATGTTGTGCTGTCCAGTTATGAATATTAACGTGTCATTCGCAAATAATCTTATTGAGCAATCATTATTTATTATCTGTGTGATATCGTTTATATTGTTGTGGCCGAGCAGTGGTCCGCTCGCTTTTGATCCCGAGTAATATTGAAAAGATCGTTCCTTGCCAACCCGCCGTTGTTTATGTTCTATTGATTGATTAATTAAAGAGATTTGACATAGATTCGTGCGGGATGGTTTTGAGAAGTGATGCGCGAGCGGATTGTGAGCACGAAATTGTATCGCGAACAATGTAATTAATTGTGTTCGTTAAAGTTCCTTCTTTATAAACGGCCTCTGTTTATTTATGCGTGTCGCTTGAATGAAAGTTGTGCGAGTGACCGCCGCGAAAGTGCGATAATATATAACAAGAATAACAACGGCCCTAATACTGATCCTTGAGGGACACCTAAATCAACATTAATTGGATTGGATAGAATTCCATTAAATCTGATTTTCTATCTGCTAAGTAATTTTTAAATTATTTCAAAACAGAACCTTTTAACCCATATTTTTGTAATTTTTTTTATTAGAATTTTCCTATCAAACACTCTTCTTAAATCTAAGAACATCATCTTTCTTTCACCTATCGTTTTCTTCCAATCTGTTAATATTGCAGTCCCACTGCAATGTCGTTTCACGTCATGAATGTTTACTTCTAAATTCTGACATTTCTTGATAAGTTCGTTGCTTTTTAGTTAAGTACTCCACTAACTGCCTGTGAACTATTTTTGAAGATATTTCTAATGTTTCTCTCTTTTCACAGAAATCTGGTAAATTGTTTATCGGCCTAAATTCTTCAATTTTAATCGTTCCTCGAATCTTTGGTATTGGAATAACAATCGCTTCCTCCCTAGAAAATACCTTCTTCTAATAATCTATTTAATATATAATATATCGTCTCATTAGTCACCTCTACTACTAATTTCATTATCTCTATAGTTATCTCCTCCTCAGTTCCAGATTTATTAGCTAATTTTCTCACTACTTGCATTAAGTACTCTGTATTTATTTTATTGAACTTTTCAAGAGCACTAATAGAATATTCGTTTTCAGTTTGAAAATCACCTTCAGAGTCCCTCGTTGCTACTTGTCTTAGACTATCTACAAAATACCTATCTACAAATACCTATTAAATTCATTAGCCATTTCTTCCACATTATTTATTATTCTATTTCCATACTGTATTTCTTTATATTCTTTGTTATGTGAGTTACCCTTTAACATTTCTTTCAGTAATCTCCACATCTGTTTTGGATTTCTTTTATTTTTATCTAATCTTCTCTCCAAATATTCCCTTTTTGTTTTCCTACAACTACCTATTGTTTTATTTTATCAACTGCCTAAACAGGTCCCAATTGTTACTCATACGAGCTGCCTTATGTGCGACATCTCTTTGGTTTATAAACTGATATATATCTTCCGAGAACCATTCCCATGCCACTTATTTTTTAGAACAATCATCTTTCTCGGCGCTTATCAATACATATTACAATTAAATTACAATTGAATCAATCGTTCAACTAGCTAATTCATTAATACTGTCTCTCTCAATAACATTAACGTTGATTTCAATTAATCTTTTAAACTCATCAACATCTATTCTTTTGTAATCTCTACATATAACACTTTTATTTCTTTTTTTAGCATCTCTCCTATTCCCAGCGTAACATTATCACTGAATGATCCATTATCTTGGGTTCATGCCTTCCACAAAATCTATATTCGAGAAAACTACATCAATTATCGTTTCAGATGTACTTATAACTATCTGTATCGCTTCTCTAATTAATGTTTTAATTATTGTATTCATTGTTTTCGTTAATCTATCTTAAATGTAATTATTTACTTTCATATATATGTTAAAATCGCCCATAACAACAATCGCCTCTATCAATAATAGCTCATTATATAAATCCTCAAGATAATTTACATATAACTATCTCTATATAAAACTAGCATCACTACTATTCGATGAATGATAACATAATTATGACTAACATAATTATCCCCCCTGAATTTGGATCGATAATTTTAACCATTACTGTCCACCAGTTTCTTTCGCACGACTCTATTGACATTAATTCAAACTTAATTCAAACTTAATTTCTTTTTTATATATAATAATGCGTAACGCAGTCACCTCGCTCGATTTGTCGTGTACGCCGATCTGGAATGCGTTTTAGAAAAGGGAGATTGACGATGCGCGGGGAATCTCAACAATAGATTCACCTAATAACATCACAAAACGTTCAGCGTGAGTTATTATCTGCGTAGCTCGTACGACGGAATCGCAGCCGCGTACAGATATCGTCGCGGCGACGACTGCGTCTCGTGGTTCGTCAACGAGCTGCGCTCTCTCGCGTGTCGCGTAAAGAAGGTCCTCTTCGCGAGCGTACCGATGTCGGAGCTCACGCCGGACGAGTGGAGCGCTTTTCGAAGAGCAATCCGTTGCCACATATGCGGGAAGATATTCGTACTGCACGACGTAGGCGTGCGCGATCATTATCATCTCACTGACGTTACAGAGGTCCCGCGCATGCGAGCTGCAATTTGAACTTAGAATGCGTTCGTTATTCTCGTGTTCTTTCACAATTTATAGGGTTACGATGCGCATTTTATTATTAAAGATGTAGCTTTCGAGGATAGAGTTGACTTGTTATCACTGATTAAGAAGATTACATCGCGAGAATTACATCACGTTTTCAAAAACCGTCAACAATTCGGCGTACGGCAAATGGAAAAACTGCGTTAAACTACGTTCCGTAGATTCGTTTAAGTTTCTCAATGCCAGTCTCGAGAAATTAGCTTCGTATCTAGATCGGGAAAAATTGAGGATCATGCGATTCAAATTCTCCGGTCTCGTCGCGGATGATTTCGAGTTGTTACGCGCAAAGGCGTATTTCCGTACGAGTACGTCGACAGCATTGATAAATTATTAGAGACTAAGTTATCGCTGATCGAAGCAATTCTTTAACTGGCGAAACCGTGAACGCTAGTGATTACGAGCACACTTGAAGGGTATGGAAGCGTTTTCACGTGAGGACTCTCGCGAGTACAGCGACTTATACTTGAAAATGGATGCTCTTAGCGGACGTTTTCGAAAATTTTCGACATCTGTATAGAGAGTTACAGTTTGGATCCCTCGCATTATTTCACATTACCAGGATACACGTGGGATGCTATGTTGAAATATACGAACGTTCGATTCGATCTGCTTATCGATATGGTGTTGTTCATAGAGTGCGGTATATCATACGTGGCAGTTTGAGTCAATGCTCGAATAGATACGCGCGAGCTAATAATCAATACGAATCATCGTACGACTCGTCTCAACCGTCGTCGTATCTCATATTCTATGATGTGAACAATCTTTACGATTGAGCCATGTGCGAGCCTTTACCATACGCGGAATTTCGATGAGTTGAGGACGTCGAGAGTCTCGACATTATGTCCGTGCCGCCTGACTCCGATATCAGTTATATTTTAAAGGTCGAGCTCGAGTATCTTCACGGCCACGCGGATCTTCCGTTCTGCCTGACGCGCAAGAAACCGCCGGGAAAGCTACTGGAACGAAAAGCTACTCGACACGCTCTACAAGTCGCGTTACGTGACGCAATCTTCAGCAGTGCGATACGATTTACGCGTGACAAGGTTCCGTCGTGCGTTGCAGTTCGCGCAATGGTCTTGGCTTCACGCGTATATCAAGCTTAATACGGAACGGAGAACTCGCGCGAGCAACGAGAGTTCGAGAGAAATCTATACAAGCTGATGAACAACGCGGTTGTTGGAGAACGTACACGATCACGTAGACGTGAGACTCGTGACGCGTTGGGACAGGAGATACGGCGCCGAGGCGCTGATCGCGAAACCGAATTTTCACAGCAGGAGCGTCTTCGACGAGAATCTCATAGCCGTCGTGTTGCGCAAACTCGAAGTTAAGTTCAACAAACCGATCTACGTCGGTATGTGCATTCTAGAGATATCCAAGATGCGTTTGACGAATTTCATTACGATTATATGGTCCCTCTTTATCACTCTAAATGCAAAATCATGTATACGAACACTGAGCTTGATATATTTTCTGGAATGCAAGAACGTTTATGAAAATATGAAACGAGATATTGCGAGATTCGACACCGGCGATTATTCCGACGATAACGCATACGATATGCCGCGTGCGAACATGAAGATTCTCGGCTTGATGAAGAATGAGAATAACGGAGCGATCATAATGGAATTCATAGGGCGAAAATGTACGCTCTGAGAGTTATGGGCAAGAGCGATACGAAGAGGATAAAGGACGTCAAGAGGAGCATCGTGGCGAACATGATAACGTTCGAGAACTTCGCGCGGTGCTTGAACGAATCGTCGCAGCAATTGAGACGTCAGACATGCGTACGCTCGATACTGCACGAGGTTTACATTGTGTCCGAACTGAAACTAGCCTTGAGTCCGTACGACGATACGAGATCCCCGACTCTACTGATACATTACCGTGGAGTCATTATAAGATATCACTATTAGATACTTTTTTACCAATGTAATAGTGTAAGTAATCATGTCACGTAAAATATCTTTGTACTCTTTTATTCATTATATTATAATACAGCCGTTTTATATATCCAAGAGTTATGTGTATTGTCCATTCCTAAACATTTGACGAAAATCCTATTGTCCTTTCTACGTAGCACCTTCTCCCGATAGATATCGGGATTGGAAACTTACAGTAACTCATATTCGTAGAATCCTCCGGCCACTGGCTCTCCACGATAGTCTTTCAGCAGATACGTCATGGGATTCGTGCGTTGCACCTTGGCGATTCAGAAAACCTCGGTCGTCCAGTTAAGCGTATCTTTTCTCGAATATCATTTTGAACTTGCTGACGCGTACCAGATCGTTCACCTTGAACCTCGCGGGGGCTGCGATCTTCAAGTGACTGTATACTAGGGAAAGGAGTCTCTTGACAAGGCGGGAGTTATGTCCGCCAGTCGATTCCGATCGTTCAATGCATGGTTGTTGTACTCCGAGATTAAACGCAGTAGAGCGTTGAGCCATTTGTACGATCCGTTGAGCGTGAAGAGTCTCCACATGTCGTTCTTGAGCATATGATTAATCCGCTCCACCATCGCCGCCTTCATCACCGAGTACGTCGAGTAGTGATGTATATTGTATCTGTTCATAACTGCTTTTACGGCGGCGTTGTAGAACTCCTTGCCCTTGTCTGTTTGCAGATTTCGTGGATGTCGAGCGTCATCGCGAAATATCTCGGATAACGTCGCTTCTGCTCTTGCTGTTCAACGGCATCGCTCATGCGTACTTGCTCAACACATCGATAACCGTCATCACGTAGTTGTAAGCCTTGTTTTGCCGCGCATATGGACGTATCTCGACCACATCGACCTGCCACATGTCGTCGTAACTGCGCATCACGACGCGACGACGCGGGAAGTTTCTTTGCGCGGGTACGTGAAACTCCTCGACGAGTCTCCTCTTCTCGACGCTTATCGTTGATTTACGCGGAGGCGCGATTTGCGTTAGTTTTATTCGTGCTCGTCGTTTTGCACATTTGCTCTTGTTCCTCGTTCCAAATATTAATTGCATGTTTCATGGTATTCGGGATATCCGTTTTTAGCGCTACTAATAACTCGTCTATCGTTTCCCTAATTACTATTTTATCCACGTTCAACGAGGCCAGTGTTTTGTCCAGCGTCTCTCTCGTTACCGATTTGTCCGTCAGTTCTCTCGCGATTCTCGTCAGATCAATCATGTTACGCGCAAGATTCTTTCTCGAAATCCTCTCACGACTCGTCGACGACGCATTGAGTTCGTTTCGCAGGGATTCCTCTAGATTTTGCAAGGATTCCTCTAGCTTCCGCGTTCGTTTTTCCTGAGCGTCGCCGAACATCTCGACGATTCTTTGGATTTCGCTCAGATCTCTAGCTCGCAGTTCGCCTCGTCTCTCGAGTGCTCCTTCCATGGCGTCTTTCGTCTCTCCTATTCGTTTATCGAGATTGACGAGCAAACCTCCTTTTTCTCCTCGATCTGTCGCAACACGTTGAGCTCTTTTCGCAGGGATTCCTCTAGGTTCCGCGTTCGTTTTTCCTAAGTATCACTGAGCATTTCGACGACTCTTTGGATCTCGCTCAGGTCTCTCGCTCGTAGTTCGTCTCGAGCGCTCGTTCTATCATGTCTCTCGTCTCCCCTATTCGTTTGTCATAATCGACGAGTGAATCCTCCCTCTTTTTTTCGAAGTGTCGCAGAATGTCCACTTCGGTTCTTACATCGTAATACTGTTGGAAAATATTCCGAATTTGCTTGTTTATATCTCTAGCTGTTTTCGTAGCTCGTTCGTTAGAGCTTTCGACTCCTCGCTTCTTACGCGAAGCGCGTCATCGACGTAATCCTTGGTCATCGCATCGGCATCATCGATCGGCGTGTTCAGATGCGTATCTGGCATCTGTTGACGTCGTAGTCGTTCGGATTCAGGTAGAGCGCGTTGCGACACACGTACGCTCGTAGAGACTCGATTGTCGGACGATCGTCGACGCCGCGCTGTCTCTCCAGAGACTTTCCGAACTTGTTCACGGACAAGCCTTCGTGGATGACGAATCTATCACGCGCGATAATCTGTTCATAATCTCGACGATCTGCATATTGTCCTTTAGAAACAATCTGGCTACACGTGCCATAGATTCCTCCAATTCGCCGATCGACTTGGCCATCATCTCGTTTGTCTCCGACAACAACGCTCGGGTGCTCGCTAAGAGTTCGTCCGCGTAGCTTCTCGTCTCGAAGATCCTCATCTCCGCGTCTCGAAACGTGCTATGTATTATAACTCTCCCTCGCGGCGTCGATGTCGGTTCTGTTGCGGTTAAATACCGTAAGGTTATCTCTCTCGCGTCGTAGTAATCGTCGCTCAGACAGAGCGCGTTATTACGCACGTAACGACGCAGGGAATCGCGAATGTATTCTGTTGCCTCCGCCGAACAACAGTTTTCCGAACTTGTTCAACATAACGGGAATACCGGCCGCCGCGAGCGCTTTTTACTCGATTGCGTCGATCTTGCGAAGCTCCTCAATTATCGAGAATCTCGTTGTTGTGAACGTCGTTACCCGCTCGACGAGAGGCGTCGAGTAATCGAAGGTGGTCGACTATCTCGTTGGGATCATCCCAATGAACGTATTCGATTCTATTGTCTCTTACTCGTATAGCGGATGGGATAGAATCGATTCTTCTTCTTCTCGTCGCCTTACTAGTACCAGCGCCAATTTTGTCTTTATCGAGCAAAAGCGGCGCGATGTACTTGTACTTGAAGCCTTTGTTTCCTAGAATGGGAATTATGCCAACGAGCATAAGCGCGTTGTGGCCACGTCGATAGGCGTTCGTAGTCAACAGTATTTATTTTTGTACGTTTGTTTGTCGTTCTCCGTGTACACGACGTCGTCGGGGAGTTTCTTGAAGATCAACTTGTATAAGTTCGGAGTACCCAAGTATCGTGCATTGATCCCCACGATCACGCTGTCGTCATCGGCCACGTCGAATCGCTTGTCGCCGAGCATCGTGCTGCTCTCGTCAAAGTGCACTCCCGTAACGTGGTCGATCTTACTCTGTCTGTCCCCGCTTAGAAGCGCGCCCATATATTTGCGACCTAACGATCCCTATTGCGCGTTTGAGATCAATTCCTCCGATTCGTTTCTAGTTGCGGAACAAGCCGTCGTGATTGAGGGTGATCTTGTCAAGAAGTGTCTCTTCATCGGTCTTGATCGGTGACTCATCATCGATCTCGCATTTTCTCTTAGCGTCGACGATGGATGCGATCGGGTCGATTCCCTCGGTCGACTCGTCTCGCGCGGTGTTCTCGGCGATTCATTTCAATGATTGAACGATCGGTGTGAGTCGCTTCTCCAGCGCGATCTCCTTCTCTATCTCACCGGTTCTTTAACGC